GGTTCTCACAGCAGTCAAATGGCCTTGCTAGCTGAGAAAGGGTGACGGAATGTGGACCTGCTGTTGTCAGCCCAGAGCTTGATTTACAAATGCTGGGGTGTATATGATCGGTCAGAAAAGGGCTCGCTTGCTGTGCCTAAATCCAACTGAGAAAAAAGTCCTTACAGTATACCTGCAAAGGGAACAGATGTTTTGCCTGATCTGAGCCAAATTCCGAGGCAACCTTCAGCAACTTAAAGGTCATATATTCAAAAAGGTTGTGTAGGACACATGATATAACACAATACTTTTTACTGTTGATCGTGGACTAGGACTATATAGCATTCGTTTGATCTAATACAGAACAAATATTTCTCTGTTTTCATTAAAACTAATTGTAAATGAATGGCTGTCACTCTGCTACTTAGCTTTATATGTAATTATTGTGTCAAACTCGACAGACTGCTGCCTGCTTAAACATTTGAAACAGTGACTAACATAAATAAGCTGAACTTTAACAAAGCTAATAATTTCTTTAAAGATGAAAATAATACAATTTTAAAGTCTTCATTTGAAACTATCTATGAAAGGTATACTTCCAGCTTACAGTGCAAGTAAACTGGGAGAAAACAGGCAAAATGTTGCTTAAAGAGCAAGGCAGTTTATTTTATGTAAATTATGATAATATGTTTCGGCACTTTTTAGCAACAGTAGACATAAGTGGGTCATATAACACCTTTAAATGAAGATGCATTTTTTTGTAACTTCAGGTAAAGGTATTTATTTTATTTTTTTTAGGGCCTGGTACTGTTAAAATTGAATAAAGTAACTTCTTGAGATGTCTGTTGTTGTTAAAAGCCTAGCCTTGAATCAGTGATGCATTGATTTCCTCATATGGCCTATAGGATTTTTTAATTTGGGAACTGGTATCAGTTTTATTGTGTATTTATAAATGTAATTCCTGTGGGTAATAACCTGTAGGTTTACTGTAGATAAGTCAGACTGAAAAGCTCTTCAAAACTCTGTGTTTTCTTCAATCTTGCAAGGTTCCACGTGCCCAGGGGGGCTTCAGCAATTCTCGGGGGAGTTGGATGCTGCTGCCACAGTGCAGTTTCCAAAGCAATAATTGTCTTTTGGGTAGGTTTTCTGGTCTACCTAGTGGTAAACCTTGCAGGGAAGAGCTCTGACCTGTTTCTATAATATTAGGGATTCAGTAACAGTAACTTCAGTATTAATTTACTTTGTTTAAGGTAAACTTTGAAAGATCTTATTTAAAGAGATTTTTTTTTTTTTAAGCTTCACCATCGTTGCAGAGGCTCAGTTGAGGCAGGGGGTAAAATTTAGCTCTGCTGTACATTTGAGTCTTTACAGCTAATGTTAAAATGGACATTGACTAAGACATTTGTTTTACATATTTACTACACTTCTAAGTGTGAAACTTAGATTTTATTTTTTTTAATGCTATTTCCTTACTGTGTTGTACTTAATGAATTTATTATGTAACAGTATTTCTTTCAATTTTGAAAAAAATCTTTAATGTAATATTTGAAATGGGAATGCCTAGGTGCCAATAACAGTAAAAATCTTAAGTAAATCTTTGTAGTCTAATTAGCAGATGCGGGGCTACATAAGCCACAGCTGGCTGGACAGGCTTGCTTGCTGTCTGTCTGTCTGTTTTTAACTTTCAACTCAAGTGGTTGAGAGATCTGCTTAAAAATCTATCAATATTAAAGGTCCAGCCCCTTCATTTAACTGCTGATTCATCTGTGATTATTGGGCTATACAAGAAAAAGAAGAGAAGACTTTATATTTTTAAGATTATTGCAAGATTAAGATCTTGCTCCTGTTAGTGAAAGCAGTCTTGCAAACCTGCATTTGTTTGACTAGGTGTGACTTTGACTTGGCGGCAATGATTGCTGTCAATGTGAAAAGTTAGTGTCAGTCTGAATAGTACTCTATGCTTTCTGGTATTATGAAGCGGTTGGGAGAGAAGAGGCTAATTAACTGAAAAAATTTTCAGAACGGCTGTGGGTAATACTTTCTAACTTGTGCATATGTGTAAGTTTTTCACGGGCTACTGTTGGTGCATTATGTATAGCCTACAGGACAAATGCATCATTTTTGTATAATGCTTTGAGTAGAGTGTCATGCTTATTAGACAACACTAACCATAGATTTCTTAAAAAAAAAACCAACCCAAAACAAACCCAAGCTGCAAGTCTCTTAAGTGCACCTTCTTGAGCTGGCAAAAGTTTTATGGAGAGCCAAAGAAAGGGCTTAGTGTTTAGTATCTGGTTTGACTTTATGAGCCACCCTAGGTAAATTGCTTAATGACACCAACCTTGCAGAGGTGATAAACACCTGTATCATCATTTAGTTCTGCTGGGAGTTAGGATTGTTTAGCCTGTCTGGAGTTCAGATGCCACAGATCTTTTTTCTTCGTTTGCAAAATAAGGATGCTATTAGCATTTACTTATAGAACATGCTAAGAATTGTGGGAAAGATAGTATAATTTTTTACAAAGTAAGTTTATAAATGCTACATACTAATATAAATAATGCTGAGAAGAATCCATCAATAACCTGGTATCTTGCTGTAACACCAGAAAAAAATGAGTCGTTTGTTCTTGGAAATGTAATATCAGCTGACATCTTGTGACCTCTTGATCAATACAATGTTGTTTTGCTTTCTTAGCGCATTGTACTACAGGCTTTGGAATGCTCAGACTTGTTCATATGTCCCTAATTAAGGCAACCAGATCAGAAGTTTCCATCTAAAGGTTTAATAAATAAGCGTACTGTGTATGTAATGGATATATCAGCTTTAAGATTTATAATTGAAACATTATGTAGGACTCTGCAGACAGATAATAAATTTTTTTTATTATTTGCTTTGGAATGAAATTCAAGATAATTTAAAAGATTTTTAAGACTTCTCCAAGCATAACATAGTCATGTGATCTTTGGCTCAGTACAGCTTTGAGTAAATGAAGTACTACGTTATAATATGGATGCTTAGTCACAACAGCAAAATAATGTCAGGAAAAGTGTAACATACTTAACTTTCAGGCAACATGTTTTTCAAAGTGTGTTATTGTGTGGTTTTAAAGTTGGCTGGTCTTGACTGAATGACATCGACTTGACCACAGTAGAAATTATATGCGAGGCTGCATACCAAATATATTAGGTAAAAGTGTAATCCAGAATTTACATTTCTGTATCTTATATTAAAACCTTTATACAAATGTCTTTCAGCTGTATTTGCTGTGAAAGTACGGCTATTCAGCTGCACGTTTTGTGGCAAACAAGGTTTCTGTTCAGTCTTCTGTATTGTCGCTGAAGCCCTAACTAATTTTAATACCTCTCATCCTGGATTTTCTTTCTGTGGCTTCAAGGCTTAATTTTCTTTCTGTATTTTTCTTCAGGCACTTGTGAGGACAAAGATAAACCTCCCAGCCCCTCTGTCCTTGAGACTTTGAGGTGTACCTTGACAGCTTACCAGAACAAGCTGGAAGATACATCTAATGAGGTAACAACACTTGCACTGTTTGGCTCTATATGTATTGCCTTCGGCCTGCAGCAGTACATATGCTTTGCTTGTAAAAAAGGTCAGAAGAGTGGGGATGTTGACTTGACAGCTTCATGTATACCCAAAGAAATATCTGTCACTACCATTTCTCTAAGCTTGCCCTACAGTGAATTCTCACTTACACTTGGCGGGGCTAGAGAGAAGAGGCTCTTTCTTCTTTCTTGCTCGCTTTTGCTCGCGCTCGCTTGGTTTTCTTATTAAACCTGTTGGGGTTGTTATTTTCAATAAATATTCAGGATAAAAAGCCACTCATATCTAGGATTTGAGTTAAAAGATTTAAGAGTTGGGCGGCATATACCACAGTATTCCTAAACAGGCAACACCTGGGCCTCAAAGGCATTGATATTAGTTATGTAAATGTGCATGCCCTTGTACATTTAAAAAGTGGCATAATTTTCTGAGATGAGTGTGTTTATGGTGAAATCTCTTTTGGTGTCTTTTTAAGTAAAGTAGGACTGTGACAACACTTTCTTCAGGTTGTCTGAGACAATAATTTGGAAGTCTTACTCTTGAAAAGAATCAAATGATTTTCATGCAGTCTTACTGTTCTTTTATTTCACTGACTGAAAAGTTAGGTTTGCATGTATTTTCTCATTTATATTGCTAATGTGATTAAATTAATCTTGGGTGTAACTTTTCTCTATAGACTTTAAAGACACAAATTCATAAAACATTTAACTGCACTGCTAGTACAGTTGTACAGTTTTCTGTACAAACTTGTAATTGCTTACCTGTGGATAACACTGGAAAGTACAGAAAGGCAAGACATGCTAAAACTGTAAAAATGCCAGTACTGCTTTTTCATGTCTAGGTTTTGTCTTTTGTTTTGACAAATGCTTAGTCTAGCTAGTCACTCACAACGTATTTAAAAAAAAAAAACAACCAAAAAAACTGCACAACCCAAAAAAACACCCACAAAACCAGAAACCAGAAGAAAAATATATCGGCTTTGCCCCTTTTATTGGGAAGAGAATGGTCTCCCTCAAGACCTTTGAGTTTGTTTAACGGGCGCAAAAATAAGTGACCATGGAAACAATTATACTTTTGCAAACAGCAAGCACTTTTAGGTCTCTCCCAGTGAGATAAGAGAACCGATGTGTATAGTCATTATGAAACTCTTCTGAGACACAAGTCTGGAAGCTGCAGAGTAACTAGGAACATATTACCCACAGCGAATTGTTATTTGGGAGGAGGAATGTCACGTGATAGGCAGCACAGTTGAAAAGTCGACTCAGCAGGCTTTGGCTTAGTGATGTGCTTTGTTGTGAAACTGTGCCAGAGACAGCAGTGGGGAGACCAAGGGGGTGGCTGCTAAGAAAGCAAAGAGAGTGTTCTGACAGAAAGAAGAATGAACTGTCAAGGAAAATAAATCGCAAGCAGAGCAGGACCAACAGATGACCTGCCACAAGACTTCCCAGTAGGACTGCGTGTGACTGACCCTGAAGTTGTCATATGGAGCCAGAGATCACTGAGCACCTTCGTGGTGCACAGAAAGGGCAATGTTCTGTCCTTCTTGATTATCCCTGCCCCCATAGATAACACTGCTTTTGGCTTTTTAAATATTAGAGATGTTTAGTAATAAAACTTCTTAATAATACAGTAATGCACAAAAGGATTATGAAGGGCACTGTGCAGTAAAACCAGGATGTTTTAATACACAACAGTAAGGGTTTAGTTTTGAGTAATTATGTAGTGGTTCTTTTTATACAGAGGTTTTCAGCAAGACCCCACATATTGAGGGAGTTAATATACATGTATACCTGTATGTATATGTGAAATATGCTGGTAAACCTGTCATATGTCACCTTTAACTTACTGTGTTAAACATTAAATTAAATTATCTAGTTCATTTGTGTTACTGAAGGGTGTATAAGTGTTTTGGGTTTGACAGGTAATGAGCTTTTGACTTTCTGTATAGTGCAGAGGCTAGAATATGTTTGAGGAGAGAGACAGAAGGATAGTAAACCAACAAAAACACTGGAAATATTCTGGTGGCATTCTGTAATTTACTGTAATTATTTCAAAGGCTTCTGCCAGGTCTCCTGATTTGAGATCAAACAAAAATGTATTTTCTGAAGTTATTTGTAAATTTTGTAAATGAGATGTTTTGCTTCTGAGTTGCTCCTTAGTGCTCAAGTGCTGGCAGTAACCTGTGCTATAATACATTTCTACTCGATGCTTGCTTTTAGACATCTGTGTTGCTAACTTAATCATCAGGTAGCCAAAGATACAGATTGTAGTGATGCATTGTTACCTTTTTTTGAAAGCGAAGCTAGTACATATTATGGTCATGAGCTGCCTTTAAGATAGTTGCTTGTAACAGCGCAAACCATTCAGTGGTCACCATGCCTCTGGGGAACATTGCTGCTTTTTATGGGTGGGTGAGTACTGCCCAGCACTCAGTAAAAAGTAGAAACCGTGCTCGTAGCTGGACAATTTCTGCTATGGCCACTGACTTTGAAAACTTGTTTTGACAAACCACTCCCCAGATAATCAGAGTTTTTTCCATTTTCAAATGCATTTCAAAGTCTGTGTTTTTGTCAGATATTTTGAAAGTTAATGGGAAAGTTAATAGTGGAGTCAGTTTGGGTTTCTGCTACTGCTATTTGTCTTAGCATTATAAAATAGTTATTTAGTGCTTTTGTAATGGCACATTGTGTAGATTTTATGGAGTATAAATGCTGTCAAAGGAATTGAAAACTATTTTTATTTTTTTTACATTTATATACAAAATTCTTCATTTATGTTGAAGTGATTGCGTAGCCTTTCTGTAAAAGCCTGTTTGACCTCAGTGTTTTTCACAGCTTGGGAAAATGAAAGCATTCTGTGAAAAGATGACAAAAGAATTGGAGATATCCAAAGAGAAAATGTGTGCTTTAAGTCAAGACCTTAAGGTATGGTTTCATGAACTCAACATAAAATTTGGAAGTTTTGCAAAAAGTATCTTTCTGGATTCTTAACTAGAATAAGTCTCTGTATCATTGTATTCTGATGAGCAGACTAGTTTACCTTGCAAGCTTGTGTGAAGCCGTGCTGCTTTATTCTGGTTGCCACCTTAGACTATGTAACTAATCATTTCAATGATTACACTTCTGAAATAGTTTGAAATAGATTTAGCAATTTGCAAAGTATTGTTTTATATTAAAATCAGCATCAGTAACTTTTTTTTCTCTTAACTGTTTTTCTCAAGAAAAGGAGAAAAGAATGCAATTGCCTCTGTTCATATGAAGGCTTATTTTATTAAAGATTTCCTGTGTTAATTTTTTTGTTTGTTTTCATCAGACAAGTTAATGCATGTATGAAGCGTTAGGTCATCCTTAACAGTTGTACAATGTGCAGCCCAAAATTTCTTAGAGTAGAATCTACCCGGGAACTGATAAAAGGGCTTGAGAACTCTTTTCTTTAGTTTCTGAACAAAAAAATTTTTTTTGTCTCTCTTTTGGCTGACACACCACTCTTGTAGTGTCCTGTCTGGTTACATCAATGGCCAAGGGAGTGAAGAAGCCTTGAGGTCATGGTTAAACTTAATCTCCCAACTGGCAGTGTATTATATTACTGCCAAAATAGAATGTCTCTTCTCCCAATGTTTCTCAGATTCTTTGCTGGGGATATGCTGCTTTATCACTTCAGTTTAGTCACAAATACTTGTGCAACACTCCTTGAATCTTCATATTAGTTGATAATTGCGTGTGATCTCCTGTCGTCTGATCTAAACTTTATTTGCTAATTTATGTTCAGAAGACCTCTATTTCTGTTGCAGAACAGAACCCTTTACAATAGATACTTGTATTCTTCATGCAAAAACTGAGTTTGCTACGCACAGACAGTGCTGGTTTTTATGCAGTACACCAGTTTCTAATCTCTTTAAATTTTTGATAATGAAATTGTATATAGGAGTGAAAACTAGATTCAGTCTGAAAACATGTGTTAGAAATTTAACATTGCTTTAATCTTTTAATATTTTCATTAAGAAGAATAAAAGTCACTGCCTGATGAATTTGGGAGTATCTTTCCTACTATATTTCCTATATAAGCAGCTATGATTTTATGAAAGAAAACCCAATGATTTCAGATTGACCTTTAGCAAACTTTAGTAGTGCTGGAAGTCCATTGCTTGTAGGAGAGGAAAGCATATGTATCTGTCCACTCCATCTCATATCTTTTGGCTGAAATGCGGTAGTGTGTTAAGTTCTTTGTCTACTGTGTGAGATTTGGTACTGGTAACATAATGATTGTATTTATGACGGTGCCTGATTATTAGTTTCTTCCCATGGTCAAATCTCCAAAAAGAGTCCTCTACTTTTTTTTTTTTATCAGGCAGATAAAGAATGCAGTGGGTAACAACAGCTGTCTGTGTTGCCTAACTGACTCAGCTGTAATGGATCAGGGATTTACGTATGAAAATAATGTATTTCTTCACTAGCTCTGAGAGCTCTCCACTCTGCAGAGGGTAACTTGTGTCCATGCATTCTGCATCTCTGGTGTTGGGGTAGAGGGGATTCCAAAGGTCGCTGCATCATGGAGCTTTTGACTCCGAGTTGGATTTCTGATGCTGTCTAGTTACAAGCTGTGGAGAAGCAACTATTGTCAGTTTTGAAATTCTGTTATTGACAAGATATAGTCAGCTTAGCCTGAAATCTTATGAACACATGTTGTTATATGACTGTTTACTTCCTCAAATGTTGAGCACTGGACTAAGGTAATGTTTTGTAGAGTAAATTTCTTACTAGCCTTTCTGTTGTTCTACAGGAAGCTCAGGATAACCTAGCTGATGTCAATAAAGAGTTAAATCATCTGCACACTAAGTGTGCAGACAGAGAGACTTTAATAGGAACTTTAGAAATGGAACTACAGAGTGTACAGCAATGCTGGGAGAAGGAGAAAGTACGTGCCACAGAATCTGAAAATGAAATCCAGCAGCTTACCAGGGCTTACCAGAAGGATATGGAGGTATTACCAGAGACAAGATGACTGTCAAAAAGAGTCTTTATTTAATCTCAACTTCATACATTTACATACATCAGGTGGTTACTCTTAGTCTTATCAGATTTATCCCAAAATACAATTTTAAGATACGTATTTTGAAATATATATTTAATATCTGCAGGATTTCAGGACATATTAGTTCTCCTTTCTTCTATATCAGAATTGATAGATTAACCCTTCCAGTGTTTTGAATGTTTCAACAACTGAGTTTAATTAAAGAGCTATGCCTGATGAACAATTATTTCTTTCTTTCAAATTGAAAGTTAACAAAAATGTTTTACAGTTGAAACAAAGAGTAGTATCATCATGTGTTGTTAGTTACTGATTCATATGGTAATTGATAGATAACAAATGTGGAATTCTTGTGTGCCACAAAACGTAGAAATTCTTATTTGTGACCTGTTAGCTCATTGTAGTGTGCTGTATGTGGGAATTGCTTCACAAAGTCTTATTTCAGAACTATTATCTCTTTACTTACATTTGTTTACAGATGTTAATTTTGTTTCCCCCCCCCCCCCCAAGCAATTCTTTATTAGCAATAGCAATGGTATTCTTTATCATAATTATTGTGCATATTGAGTTCATTACTTCACAAATTTGGACTTGGGTACAAACTGAGTAAAAAGGAAACATTCTTTCCACCTCTTTTGCAATCTGGTATTTAAATAGTGTCCACATGAAGCAGCTGGAATTGTTATACATGTCAGATGATGATTAAAGTGAAGGAAACTAGAAGCCTGGCTATATTGTAAAATCAGCGTGTCTACAACACTGTAGTTGCATTCAACACATGTGAATTGATTTTGGGTCTTGGGATTTCTTTTTTCACACCAAATGGATAATTATCATCCTTGGTTTATCATAGCTCAAGCAAATACGTAGTGATGATGGCACACTGGAGTTTCCTTGGGGAATTAAGAGATCTGCTAGAAACAAAGTTGAACTAAAGTACAAGGTTTTTTAATTACCTAAAATACCATTAAGTAATTGTGAGAGAATGCACCTAAGTATAATGGAAAGGGCTTAGAAAAACCATAGTTCCCCATCTTGGTCATCCACAATTTCTTAATGTAAAACCTCATCCAAGGCCCCTGGAAAACAATGGGAACCCTTACAATGGTTTACTAGTTTGAACAAAGACTCTGTTTTTGAAGCTTGTGGCTTTCGAGGTACAGCTTTCTCTCATCTTAATCATAAGTTGCAAAGTTGCATGTGTGTACTACAAGAGTGAAGGCTGGGGTTTCTGTTGCGTGCAATTTGTTGCTGAAGTTTATAACTTGCATCAATTTATTATACTACTGACTAAAATCGGTGTAAATGAATGAGCCATGGCTTGTGGAATTTAACTGATGAACCTATATGCCTGTTTTGTCTAGCTATTTAGGCATACATAATCTGTAAGAAACCAATATTTAAAAGACTTTAGAATGATAGTTGTATAAACAGTGTGTTGTGCTGCCAAGCCAATTGGACAATTTTCTGCATGCTGTGGAGCTATTGGAAGAGGGTACAGTTTGAATATACCTGAAAGTGTTAACATGAATGATTAAATTGCATCTACTGATAGCATGGAAATTTTTGTCTGTGTCAGGTCATAGTTGTGCCCACTGCAGGATTTGTGTTTGCTTTATTTGTATACTATGTCTAATTAGACAACTTTTATAAAAACTGTTTTCTTACTCTGGCTTTAATATGTATGACTGCAAATATTAAGACTAATCAAGGAATTTTCAAAAGGTTTGAGAAGGAGCTTTGTGGGGGTTTTTTTTCAGCTGTGTGCAGCTCATGTTACATCTGATGCATCTGTTTGGATTCTAACACTGTTCAGATACAACAGTTAATGTTTCTTTTTTTTCTCAGGAGAAGCTAACCTTCCTCCATAGCTTATACCAGCGTTTGGTAGCAGGCTGTGTGCTTATAAAACAACCAGAAGGCATCCTAGATAGATTCTCTTGGTCTGAGCTTTGTGCAGTCTTGCAGGAGAATGTTGATGCCCTGATCTTAGACCTCAACAGGGCTAATGAGAAGGTAAGTGTCCTTAGGCACCAGCTACCTCTATTAAATTCAGTGACATTTGTCCACATCACAGTATCATTAAAAAGGACTGACATTCATCTTATTTCAAAAAGAATTTGGACGTTAATAATTCAATACCATTAATTATGTCTTGTCTACAACTCAGTTTGATGCCATTGCTGTGGGCATGTAAATGTGACTGAAGTCTGCATGAAGTCTCTAAGCTCCACTTTCTGTGCAGGACATGCTAATAGTACTAGCCAATATTAGCCACAGGGACCTAATTAAAAGAAAATAAATTAATCTTACTGATGAAGCAATTCAAAGAACTTAGTCATTTACACTAATAAAGTGAGTCTTTATTTTAGCATAAAAGAGAAACAAAATGCGCTTACTCCAGGAACATACTCTTTAAATTATATGTTTATGATTCAGAGATACTATCTGAAAATAATGCCAATGTGGTTTTTTGGCTTAACTCTAACTTTTGGATTATGAGAGTTGTGTTCTGAAATACAATAGAAAATGCTCACTTTTATAAAACATGTCAATATTTGTTTAAGGGAGAAGCTGTACTTCTTTGAATTATATTAATGTGAATGAGTTTGTGGCCTTTCTCCAGAAATCCTTGAGTTTTTAGGAAAGAGGCGGCCTCTTTTTACAAACACAAACTGGCTCCACAGACTAACATGTGACACTCTCTAGGATTTCAGGTCGTGTTCTGGCTCCATTGATCAGGCCAGTCCTACATTCTAACAGAGCGACTCCAGATCTTGGCTGCCCAGACATTTTGTTCTTGAGGCATAAGAACAGAAAAGCACTTCTGGATGTTTCTCATCTGCTGGAATTGTGACCACTCTTCTGGCCCGAGTGAGGGACAGGGCTGGTTACAGTGAACCATTTTGACTGCCGATCATTTAGTAAATACCCCACAGTCAGTGGGAATTACTAAAGAGGGATAGTACAAAATCTGGATTACGCAGATTAGATGTACATGTCTATTTTGCTTTTGCAGTAGAGGAGGGAAAGGAATGGAAGGGAGCGAACACTGGCAGTGTTTGGGATGGCTTGTGTCTTAGGTTTTCTTACTTTTTAATTTAGTATTGTTACTGAGATTCGTTGTGAGGTCTCTAGGGCTTTTCAGGGCTTTGGGGCAGTGTTGTTACCTGTGTTGTACCTGCTTTCTGAGAACAAAACTTTTCTCCTGCAGTTTTGTGTGATCTGTTTGGAAGGTAACTTGCTGATATTCGCTAGTTCAAAGTGTAGGCATGTGTATTTAGAAGTCATGGTTGGCTTGATTCTTTCCTCCATGTAGTTTACATGGAGCTGCAAAGTTAAACCACAGAGCGCAGCCCTTCATGCTTGTTGAAAAGACATCATAAACTAATGAGTTACTTATGAGGAAAACATTCTGTATGCTAAAATTTCCTGAAATTATTTTAATATTAGTAATATATGGAATGTCTTTGGCTTTCCAATAAAACAAAAAATAAAATTAAGGGCTGCTTTTTTGTTATTAGTTTCAGTCCTTGCAAACTGCTAAAGAAGTGATGTACTCAGATTACTAATTTAGCAGCACAGGGTTTACTGCACTTGTTTCCAAAAAATACGGGAAGTGTCCAGTTCAGGTTTCCAACAAAGAAGGCAACAGATACCTGCAAGGTGGTATAAGGATGGCAAAACTGAAACCAAGGAAAATTCATTATTCTGAAATACGTCTCAGTTTTGGTGCAAGTGATATGTCGTGAAAGGCTTTTACTTAGTTTTAATGAATAGAAGAAATTACAATTTAGATTTTATGCTGGAATAGCCTGTGCTTAAATTAATGTGTACAATTAAAGTAAAAAGATGTTTTGAGAGGTAAAAGATTTTCTTTTTAAATGCTTATCACACAGATATCTCACCTAGAATATCTTTGTAAGAACAAGTCCAATACTATGAAGGAGCTTCAGCAGAGCCAGGAAGATGCTTTTAGCAAAATGGCTGAACAGATGAAAGCACGGGAAAGCTGTTGGCAGAAACAAAAAAAGTATCTGGAACAGCAGTACTCAGGTCTCCTTGGGGAAGTTCATGCAAGGGCACAGGTATGGTGCTGTGAACTCCTGATTTTTTTTTTTTCTTCTTGTAAATGTTTAATAGCTTTTTTCAGTAGTTTAAACTCCTAACCAATTTAAGATTGTTTGGGAATTTTAGTATGTCTTTAAAATAAACCCAACACTATTCTGGTATTAACTTACTTATAATAAGAAATAGATTACTTTATTAAAAGATTCTAGAAATGAATTGCTTAATTTGGTCTAGCAGTTGCTAGTGTTTTTTTTTATTTTGAGAATGTTAAAGCTGTAAGATTGAAATTGCTCATTCTAAGAATTATATAGGGCAGCAGTTTTTCAGTGTCAGGCTTGCAAAGACTCTGTGGAGTAACAGTAATGTGGTGTCATCTGGGGATAAATTTAGGTATATACATTCTGACCCAAAGAAACAATTAGCAGTTACAGTGGTAGATTTCAGCAGTATTCAGGGACTTTGTTATGCAGATACTACAGTGGGCCATGATTCAAAAGTGTAAAACTGTCGTCACTGATTGTTAGAAGTTATTTGCAATCTAAAATTTTCACTGTTATTCTACAACAATTCACTGTCTTTACAGTCACATTCCTTTACATGTGTTTCAGTTAAGTGTTGTGAAATAGAGGAGATAATATATGCTTTATTTCTGACTGCCATTTGATACTTACTTCACCAGAAGAATTTTACTGTATTTGACTCAGATTTTGAGCTTGAAAGTCTTTGCACTTTGAAAAATATATTTATGAAGTATTCTTTAGACAGAGCAATTTATGTTAATTTCTTGGGCACGAGTTAAAATCTTGTACATATTTTTTTGCTTGATATTTACATTTTACATTGGATATTGGCAATACTAAAAACATCCCTATGAGTGGCATCCAGACTTATATTAAGTTCCTCCAACATCCTGTAATTTAATATTATGAAATCATTGCCAACAAAAAGAATGATGAAATAAGGAAGCTTAATTTTAGTTTTAAAAATTACTTTTCCTTCCTAAAGAAAAAGTGGAGTTACAGTTTAGATTCCTACCTCCTAGTGATGCTGCACAAAAGAAAAGTCTGAGTCATCTCTTTCAGGAATGTAGTGTGTTGTGGAGAAGTGGTGCACTGTCGTTCTTTAGGATGGTGCTGAACCTACCAGTCTTTTCAGCTGAGTTGTGTAGACAGCAAGCAGAGCATGTACTGAAAACAGGGCTCTCTTTTGTAGAGCATGCATTAGGCATTTCAAGGGAGGTGATTCTCCCCCTCTACTCTGCTCTGGTGAGAGCCCGCCTGCAGTGCTGTGTTCAGCTCTGGGGCCCCCAGCACGAGAAAGACATGGACATGCTTGAGTGGGTTCCAGAGCAGGGCCACGAATATAATTAGGGGTCTGGAGCACCTCCCCTGTGAGGACAGGCTGAGAGAGTTGGGGTTGTTCAGCCAGGAGAAGAAAAGTCTCCAGGGACACCTTCCAGAGGCCTTCCAGGACTTAAAGGGGGCCTAGATGAAAGCTGGAGAGGTCATTTTTACAAGAGCATGCTGTGACAGGATGAGGGATAATGGTTTCAAACTGAAAGAGGGGAGATTTAGATTAGATATTAGGAAGAAATTCTTTCCTGTGTGAATGATGAGACACTGGCACAGGTTGCCCAGAGGAGCTGTGGCTGCCCCCTCCCTGGCAGTGTTCAAGGCCAGGCTGGGGGGGGCTTTGAGCAACCTGGTCTAGTGGAAGATCTCCCTGCCCATGGCAGGGGGGTTGGAACTGGATGATCTTCAAGGTCCTTTCCAACCCAAACCATTCTGTGGTTCTGGAAAGAGACTTTGTCTGTGTTGTGGGTTGTACAGGACTGCTGGGTTTCTAAAAGGGAAATGCTTTCACCTTGAAATATCCGGGCATGTTTTCTAACACAGGTTACGTACTGTTGGAGCACAGGCTGATGGTGTTGTCATCTAGGCAGTGCAATGTCTGTGTACACAGATGATTCAACAAAACTTTGGCTCATTTTTTTTTTCCCATCCCATGTTCCGGTTTGCCTTCCTGACCATTCAGTGTCACTGTGGGAAGACGACAGTCTATTTTCTTCCATATTTCCAATTTGACTTTGGACCTGCAAATACCAGATTAAGCCTTTGCTTTTCTGGGATCCGTAGGGTCCATGAGTGTCTGTTGTTAGGACTGTCCAAAACCTGATTGCTTGTTTTTTACAAGACTTTGTAAAACTTGTCTTTTACCTATTGCATTTTCAGCCTGTTAGCCATATTTGTCTGCAAGTTCACTGTGCTGTTGGGTCAGAGATGTGCAGACAGACTAATGTAGTAGCCTTATTTCCATAAGAAAAAAGGAAAAATGTACCACAATTTACGGAATGTCTTCAAGGGATCTTTTAGACATTACTGTGTGCAAGTGTTTACATAAAGATACAGAATGCATTTTTTCAATATAATTATTTTAATAGGCTTTATTAATTAGATGTTACAGGAAACATATAACCAGTATAAGTGGAATATAATTTCCATTATTATGTATTTCATTGTAGAATGTATGGGTCTCATCACTCTAGGATATTTGTTCTAGCACTACAAGAAAACTGTAGCAATTTGCTGTATTTTCAATCCGAAGATCTGAGTATTAATTAAAATCAATTTGATGAACTAATCCCTTGTAGGTGTTAGTTCCTTTTTGAAACGGAAGATGAGTGACTTTTCCTGTTGTGCACCAAGCTAATAGTATGTCATAGGATGCATCCTTTTGTTTGTAACTTTTTCTTCAGTGGGTGTCCCATGCTGCCTTCTAGACATTTTTTCCTCAGAGCTTCTGGGTTGTGACTTCTTTAATTTTTGCAGTTGTTGGTATATGTGCAAAGGCAAACTGAAGACTGTCAGTTCAGACTCTCAGGAGGTAACAGAGAGCTCTAACTGCACAGCAATATGAGTAATGTATCTTGGAAATTACTGTTCTGGTTTCTTAGAACTGCAGTAGGGAGCTGGGGCTTTTCAGAATGGTCTCAGAATGATTAAAATGTAACATTGCAAAATCTGGAGCTTTTAGTAGCAGTGACACCTGCCACTGCTTCTGTCCCTGGCCAGTACTGTTCAAGGTCCCTTGCTCCAAGATAGGATCTGTGGGTGTTAATAGGTACTACTTCACAGCTGTTACTATAGGTCAGATGGATGGTGTAATCAAAAAGCAGTTTCACTGGTTTTCTGTAGGACAGAAATTCCCAGAGTGGCCTTATCACAGATCACAATAAACAAGGCACTGTATAGATACTACTCTTCTTTGTCTGTGGTCTCCATGTTTGCAGAGTCAGTAGGGCTTACAATGCATATCCTTTTTCCTTGCCTTTAGCAGCAGGAGTGCAGGTCTCTTGATTTGATAGTATGCCATTTTGAAAATGTTACTATGCCTGTTCCTTAGCCTCACACAAATTATTTATTCAGACTGTGCACAGTCTCTTAGGAAATGTCCTCTGAATTTTAACTATCAGTTGTTGTTTGTTTATTATGTAGACATTTATTAATCTGTCCCCATTTTTTGTGGGATTATAACCACTTAGAATAGAAGGGTTTTGTTCTGATGTGCAAAAACATGTTGTAAGAGAAAAATCCTGTAACTACTTTAAAAATGTTAATTTCAACAGAAAAATAAAAGGTCTGATAAATAGGAAAGGGAAAAAGTCCTCCAGGGAGAAAAAAAAGTCTTTTATTGGCTTTTTTTTTGTTTGAAAGCCTTGGTTTTACAGTAAAGCAGGTGAATTGGCTAAAGGCTCTGATATCTTGCAATTGTATCAAAAGTCAGTGCAAACAATGCAAAAGGAGAAGTAGTGTAACCTACTGGCTGTCTTTGATAGACATGTCTGGTCCACTTGCTTAAAACACAGGAGAGAGATGGAGGACAGTGGTGTTGATGTTGTTTGTTTAGATGGATAGATGTATATATTTAGAAAAATAAAACAGCTGAAATACAGGAAAACCTTTTGAAGTCAGTGTCATTATATTTCTAGTTTCCAGTTCTGTTTTCATGCCAGAATCAAGAGTAAGGACCCAGTAAGAAGCAGGATAAAATGGTCTTGCTGGTAGCATCTAATTTTTTGTTAAGGATTCTTGGAATCCAGCAAGGTCTGCAAACCAGTGAGGTCTCCCTCAAAGCTCAAACACTGAAGGAAGCCAGTTCTATGTGCCTTTCAAAAATGGTGGTTTGACGTGAACAAAACGCTGGAAACAGCATGGGGTAAGACAAAAGCAGTTATTAGCCAGTAGAACGGAGGATGTCTATTTTCTTACAAAACTTTTACATTTCTGTAGTCAGAGAGTGTCTTGTTCACTTTTGCATATTACCATGTAACTATAAGTGTAAAAACACTAAGCTTTTTTTAAAAAAAGCTTTAATTAGCCAGAGCACTGAATGTTAGTGTTGCTGCCCAACAGTCCTGTAGGGATCACACTTTGTTTACTGAGATATTGGCCTTTCACCTGTGATAGCCAGAAACGGTAAGTTGTTTTCTAAATTCAGCTTACCTTTTCAGTTCCTTCCAGTCGTGCTATCAGGGTTTTTTTCCTATAAAAATCAAACACTGTAAATAATGCAGTAGCATTGAAAGTATTGTGCATGTTCGTACTTAATTTTAGAGTAGTAAAGTGACATATGAGGCCTGTAAATTGCATTTTGTAATTAAATCTTTTTATTATGTACTCTATTTTTGTATCACTGAAAGTATTTTAATAACATTACAAACTCTTCCTCTTCAAAAAAAAAAAAAATTTATTTGGTCAAAGACATTCTGAACTGATTAGGGTACTTCTCTATAGAAGCGTTGAATCTTTTATTTCCATTCTAGGGATAGCTGTGTATTTTTTTTTTTTTGTCCCCCTGGTTGTGCTTGTAGGATGGAGGAGGAAGAAACTAGGGTGCCCCCCTCACCAGTTGTTTGAACCTGTACCAAATAGAACACATGGGACTGTGGCTGGGTGCTGCTGCTTTACTTCTCTTTTAGCCACTGCTAATAGGAATAACTCACCCCATTTTTAACAAAATTGCTCAAAATTGCTTATAGGTCTGAGAGGTGGCTGAAGCTTAGCTTAATCTTCTTTTTTCTTCTTCATATGGACTTGTCATTCCATTCATGTTTGCCTTTTTGTGTCCATATATTGTAACCGGAGCATAAGCATTTAACTTAAAATTGTGGGTTCTTTTTGAACAGTGCTTAAAATTTATTATGTCCTTATACCACTGGATCCTGTTTAAATGTAGCCTCAAGTGGTTGTTCCAATCACAGAGGACTGTCATGCATCAAGAAGCCAGTCTTAAGACTGAGGTCCCAGCATAGTATCTTGATTCCTGTACAAGAACTGCACGTTACCAAAAGGAATCAGTCTGCATGGTGTAACCTCAGTCCTGGCATTTGCTGGCTTGTTAGTCTCTGTTTTGCTACACCAGTTTTTGGTTTTTTTTCTTTCCCTATTTAAGGGCATGTAGGGGAAAAGACGAAATGTTCTGCAAGTTGGGAAAAATCTATAATGACACTAGTCAAAATAAAAATACCTGCATTACATTGTTCTTTTGAAAACTCAATTCTGTATGAGACCTAATTAATCTGTGAATATATAAGTAGGGGGTTGATTACAAAGTAATTAAGAGATCACCTTTACTTCCCCTTTCCCAGCTGCTGCCAATCTGTCTAGGTTTATCTTCCAGAGCCTTCCTTCTTTTTTTCCTTTTTCTTACACTAACTTTATTTTCTGCTTTGAAGAGCAATGTTCTTTCTGAAATTGGAGCATGTAATTGCCTATTGTTAAGCCAGCACATAAAAATGGACTGTGGGCAACTAGGTACTGTTGGACCTTCTGTGGGCTATTGTGGTACTAGTGGATTATTGTCAGAAATCTGGAGTCCATTTGTACTTGAAGGTTGTGCAAATTGTCCTTGTACTATTGATTTGTTTTCGCATATCTGGTTCTGTAGAACCTAACTTTGCTAGGAGTGATACTCTGACATTACTAATGTCAAATCATTGCTAATAATTTTTGTTCCTTCAATGTGTTATTTGAATCTGAAAAAGAAGTCTTTCAGCTTTTGTCTAGATAAAAATTATTTTGTTAGTTAAAAAAATATCTTCTAGTTAATATTTCTTCTGGTTTTGTTTGGTTTTTTCCCCTTATCCCAGGAATACCAAGAAACAGCAGAGAAAAACAAGGAGAAAATTTATGTCCTTGAAAAAAGGCGAGAGAAATTGGTCCTTGAAAATGTTTCTGTAAAAAATATGTTAATGCAGGTTCAGAAGGAGCATTCATCTCTCCTGGCAGCCTGTGCACTATTGGCAGGTGCCCTGTATCCTCTCTATGGCCGATCGTGTACTATGTCTTCCCAAAGACACCTTCTCCAGGATCAGGTCAACACTTACGAGTTAGTGAAACAGGAGATTAGGACCCTAGTTCATGCTCTCTCTGATGTAGAGGAAGACAGTCAAGATGAAACAAAACTGAAGAAAAGAAGATTCAAAGGCCTAATTCGTGTGTTCCGAAGAGGTGTGATTGCAGTTTTGGCAGCTAACAGACTTAAAGTTTTAGCCCAGTCTTCTAGTACCCTTTTCTCCTGGGTAAATGGCTTCAAAGGTGGCACTGGAATTCTAGTTTGTGTAGGAGAATCCAAAGGCAAGCGTAATCTGTCAAGTAAGCTAATTGTTTTCTTCTTTGATGTTATGTCAAATTACATGGTTTGTAGATAACAAATAGTAGTGTTGTTATTAATAGATAGTAAAGACGTTCTGACAAATGTAATTTCTGGATTTGTGATTTCTAGATTTCTTGGCAAGTGTAATTTCCCCTAAATGGAAATGCTTAGTCTGTTAAGAGAGAAAAGTTGAAGGAAAAGTTACAACTACAGACGTGAACTGATAGTATTTGATATCCTTGATATTTGCATTACGGATTTCAGAACAATGTGCTGCTTCATCTTCTCTGGGATAAATATCTTGTGGTGTTCCTGAATGATAGACCATCAACATATTTTTGGAAAATACATTTCTTCTTCTTTTATTAATCACTTTTAATATTTATTTCCTACTAAAAATGCAAAAAAAGTTGCTTTCTAATTCAAGTATATTATTAGTATAGGATTTCAAATTTTTCTTTAGAGCTTATTTAGTCTTGCTGTCCCTTTCTGTTACAAGACCAGCTCATGCTTCCCACTGTAAGGATAAATGGTATCAAAAATGTTTCCCAGACTAGAAGATACATCTACTTTTCTAGTAGTTCTGGAAGCATCTTAAATACAGTCTAAATTGTCCTGAAAGAAGAATTAGTTTGTGGCTTATATACTTAATTTTGGTCTTGCTAATTTTAAGTTTCTGAAAGAGCCGCAGATAGTAGTGTGCCTTATCGAAGTTGTTCAGTTTTATTGCTGGCTATAATTCTGTTTTGCAGGTCACGAAGAGGAACAAATTCCCTGTGTTGAAGCACTCAGCTGGTTTAGTAGTTCTAACCTCCTTGCTGCAATAATCAGTTCTGTCACTGAATTACAGGATGTTGTTAACAAAACAGGTAAATTTAAAACTATATTCTTCCAGTAGAAGATAAAAAAATATTCAGGGTGGTTACGTCATTTCCATTTTTAGGATTTTAGCTAAACTATTCTGGATCAAATCTCTGGAGAACTGTATTTTTGGAACAATTAGTTTTCTTTAATTGGTGATACGATACTTTTATCATTTCCGTATATAGGGTCATGGAAACAGAAAGCTGAAGAGTGCTTCTAGCAGGCATATAAACAGTTTTGCCTGCTTTGTTGTGAGATGGCATGGTGTAAATTTTTTTTTCTAACAGAAGGCAATTAGAAAAATTGGCTAACCTATTTTTAAAAGCTTCCAATGAAGTAATGTTTATGGGCTTGCTAGTTATCTTGTTCCACTGTTCCAGTATTCAAAAAGTATTCTACTGAAGGTTAACCTTATTTTTTTCTATAGAGGAAATCTGTGTAATTTCTATTTGTTCTGTGTATTTCTGAAGTGCTGGCCCTAAAACTGGCCCATACTAAACCTGGGACATTACCACTGCTGACTGAAAGGAAATAATTCTAGAATTTCCAAATCTGGAAAACAGTTGAATTTGGATACTGTTTTTATCTGGTTTGCTTGCTATCTTGTGAGTTTTGCTCTCAATTTATACAGTGTATAGCAGTCCTTATTTTATGTCTCTACTATGTTCTCTCTCTAAGTATATGCTTAATTAGATTTGTCTCTAGATTCCCTGATTTTCTCAGTCGCTCCTCATGTAGGAGATTTGACTGCTTCTGTATTGCTTGGAATTCTGTTGTTCATGACATCAAAAGACTCCCAAGAAGCTTTGGTTCAAAAAATAGTAATAAATAATTTAAAATTTGACATGAAATTTCCGGAAGTATGGAAGTGGTAAGGCTCTGAAGGTATATGTTTCAAATAAAACTTGAGTACTTAGGAAATTATTTTATGTTCTGTAAGTCATAGTTCAAATAGGATGTAGACTTTAAAACTGACTTCAATGATTTTGAAAATTTAAAAAATGTAAATAGACAATCTGAGAGGTGTCTGCTGTCTTCAGATCTCGAAATAATGGCAGTTCTAGATTAGACTGCACATCACAGGAGAGAATAGGCACAAGACGGTGCTGTCTAGGTCTACAGTATGGAATTGTTTGGTGTCTTAAAAATTACTTTTAAAACAGGCTAGGTTCTGAGGAACCATTTGAAGCAGTTGAAAGAAACCAAGTTCAGATCACTCAGATAACACTGGAACTTTTGGGCTTGTGCACTCTGGTGTTTTGAGGCACATTTCTTGATCTTTTAACTTTTTTAAAAGTATTTTTCGTTTGACGTTCATGATCACGTCCCTGTTCATTAATTTTGTTCTCATCCCAGCATTTCTTGGAATGATCTCTTAGCTTCAATTTGAATACAACTTCATTGGGGCTTTTGTATTGGTTAGTTTTCTTGTAAGGTTGGTTTTGTAGGTTTGTTTGAACAGAATCTGTACTTTGATAAACCAAGTAAAGGTCAAGCTTTTTGAGTAGAAATATCATCAACTGTTACGTACACAAGGCTTTTGAAGCTTAGCGTGAAAATTTTAGTCTTTTGTAGTAGTGCGAAGTTCATCCTGATGACTGTTCTGTTGTATTCACCAAAACGGAGTAAACAAGAATTTGTCATCTGTCAGTGAAGATTTGTCACTTTTTCTTAATTTGTTTAATGTAAGAATTAATTGCTTTTTGTCATATACCTGTGTTTCTGTTAATAATTTCTTATACACATGACAGTGTACAACATTTAGTGCTTTTATTGTAATTCCTTGATTCGTGGTCGACAGGTACTTAAAATGCATGTACTTAAACCATATATTCTCTTCCTAATGATTATAGATACAGTTCCTTGTGGAACTGCATTACATTCTCATTTTGTCTTTCATGGCAATCAGTAACATGTATGTGCATTTCTGTGTATTTACTCCAAACTGCTCTGCATAAAAAAGAAAAAAGATGATTATATGCTTTTTTTTTTTCTGCCATCCCAAGAAAGTGCCTTAAGTTGTGGGCGCTGAACTGTATTGAATAAAGGGAATCCTGATTATGAAGCAGAATGATCGTTTTCAAAATGCTGCAACACAATTGCCTGAACTGTTGTTACAAATTTATTTTTAATACAGTTAAACTGGAGGTTCTAGACATAGGGAATGGGGGTGCCATTCTAGGTACTGCACATAAGGAGAAAGACAGTGTTTTCTGGCAGGCAAACAATAGCATGTGAAATGAGATACCAGGAGAAATGAAGAAATGGTAGCTCATTGACAGTATCCTTGTTTTGATATTTACTAAAAATCATGGCAAAGGAGATTTTTTTTTAGAAGGTTTTGGTGTCATCTTATATGGAATGCAGTACAAATATTCTAGTTTTTATTTTAAGTTAATTTAATTAAACATCCAAACTAGTGAATGCATCATGACTGGAGAAAATAGATGGTCTTTGAAATGGAAAGGCAAGTAGGACAGGATAATCTGTGATAAGAGCTAGCTTTTATTTTATGTGATCAATAACAGGGAACCAACAGAAGGAAAAGAGAGGAGCCTTGGCCAAAGTAGACAGAGCATTACAATAGCAATTTCTTCTGGGTATGAGAAGAATAATATATTTTATTTCAAAGTGTAAGATAAAAATGCTGGATAAGATTTTTAGCTTTAAAGATTAATAGAAAGAGTGCTGTCTTAGACATGAAGAAAAGACAGATTTACTACTAGCTGTGGTTGTGGAGAGCATGTACTCAAGAATTGTACTCCAGTTAAGCACTGGAATGGTTGGAATGGTGGTATTTTGAAATCAAGCAGGAGAATGGCTCTGGGAAAAAAAAAAAAAAAATTGTGTGCTGTTTTTTTTTGTTAGCTTACAGATAAATTTCATTTCATATGTATAAATGAATAATTCTTTGTGGTGAGAGTAGTAATCTAAAAATATCAATAATCATGTTTTGTTTGCTTTGAACATTTGGCTTTATCCTCGCAATGTATAGAAAGAAATTCTTTAACTGAAGAAAGCTATGGTTATTTTTTTCTGTTTATACTCTTAAGTAAATATTTTAATTCGCTGCAGCAACAGGAGATCTGCTGTACTACTGAATGTAAATAAGCTCTTCCATGCTTGTCATCTTACACTGATAGTATCATAAGACAAGTAATGACAGATTAAGACCTGCCTAGCAGAGGGAAAACTAAATTACAAGACTTTTATTAAGGCATAAATAAACCTATTAACTGTTATCTGGAATACCAATTAGTGGAAGGAGCACTGACAATTTTATTTATCAACATTAAACACAATTATTAATTACAGACCTGACGAATCTAGCAGTAAGCAGGACATGTTGGGTGTGCTGGGGCCTTAAGTCCATTATATGAGAAGGATGATTACCAAAATCCTGTGGGGAAATAAGTAATTGTAGCTGTAAAATTTTAATTGCCTTGGAATAAGGTAAATTATATTCTCTTGTCTCAGAATATAAATAGTATGGCATTAAGGTACCAAGCCTCACTAATTTTGAACAGCAAATAATTTAGACATCTATAGAGGGTAGGGAAGAGGATTCAGGAAAACCTCAGAAATTTGCATTGTAAATATTGCGATAAAGTGATTTACCATGTGCTGTCACAGCTGACATATTTGACCTGGCTTGTATTTGCTTGCATCAGTCTTACATGTTTTCTGAATTACAAAATTAGAACACAGAAGAAAGACTTAAGGAAGTATAATATTGGAGGAGAACATAAAAACAGCCAGAAAATTAATCTTTGACAAACGAATCCTGTTCTTTACAATCCTATCCTAACTTTCCATCCAAAGTTTGATAGGAGTAGGGTGTTCATTGCTAAATACAGAATTTGTGCCAAAGTCTCTCAGATATTCCTGTGAACTCAGTCTTCCACTCTTTAATGGAAATTTCCTAATGAGTATTTTAAAGATGCTATTTGTTGTTGCTTTTTTCCACTGAAATAAACCCTGAAGCTAATAACCTGCATGATGTTTCTTAAAGATCCAAAGCCCTGGCTTTCTGGACGCTCACTTGTAAGTGCAGCCAGGAACTCCTTTTCAAAACTTATGGACAAGCTGAATGTAATAATGGAGACTGGTCCACTAGACAGCAGCAGGAGCATTGCTTATCTGGAGAAGGACTCCTTGGTCCAGAGGCTGGCTCATGGACTTCTTAAAATGAATACCCAGGCCCCAGAAGCTGGATTGTGTGGCAGACCACCCATTATGGTATGTGTATTTATGGTGCTACTTTGTGTAAACGGTAGGTTCACAGCAGAAGTGTTACAGTGAAGTTTTCTTGATAATGCCATTAATTTTGTTTCAGGTTGTTTAAGAGTTCGTTACGTTGAAGTCATCTACATAGAGAATCAGAAGTTGACTTGCCACACCCAAAAACATTAAGGCGTGCATAGATCTTTTATTGTCAAAGATTTTAAGAAGAGATTTGATGTATCCAAGAAAAAGATTTTTTTTTTTTTAAAGTTCTGTCAAATCTTTATAAAATGCAGTCTTTATAAGAACAAACTTGCTTTTGGCTTTAATTAAATGTTGAGATTCAGGGGGTTTTTGTTTTGGTTTTTTTTTGGGTGGGGGTGTGTGTTTCTTTCTTTCTCCTGCTTACTGTTCTGTTTCATGAAAGATAACATTCTTCCCTTTAATGAAAATGAAGGGGTAAACTCTTTCTCGCATAGTTTTATTGTGGGTCTTACATGAAAACAGGTACTTTCTTGAAAACAGAATTTTCAGTAACCTTCAACAGTAGGTTGCGCTCTTGTGTGCCTTTTAGAGATGGAGGACAAAATGACAGCTTTGTCTAATTTGCATGGGTATTAAATGTGATTGATTTTATTGCTAAAACAGTACATTTTATAGTACATGAATTTGTTTCTGTTTACTAACAGAAAAACATAGCATCCTTGCAGAAGCATATATTTGAATTTACACAAAGACTTCATGCAGCAGAGGTGGAACGCCGCTCACTGCGCCTAAAACTTGCAGAATTCAAATGGAATTTCAGTGAGATGAAAAAAGAAGCTGACAAAGCCCAGACCCTGCAAGAGCAATTAAATATGTTTAAGCAATCTGTAAGTATATTTGATTTAGAGGATACTGCTTACGAGAGATCCTGATTTTTACACATTTTGATTTGTGTTCTTCTGAAATACAATTGTAAAATCAATCTACAATTAACAGAATTTTCCAGCAAATCTGCTTTGTAAATGTCATTAAACCATGTCATATGTATTTAGAAGTATCTCTTTTCCACAGGAGTTTCTCTTTGATTTGTAGAATGAGGTATTCTGTGTAAATTACGTTTGGTCTTTAGCGGCCCAGGTTTTCTTCCATATGTTGAAAATGTTGGTGTGATCCCTAAAAGGATTTATAGATTTCACTTCAACAGAGTAAAGTCAGCTGAAATGAGGGTATCCAGTAAGTATGTTCACAAGAAGTTCATAAAGCTTAAGTGTAGTATTTTAAACTCTGCGTGGATATTGCAGAATATTATTATAGACATTTTACTGAATCTGTGAGTATGGGTTATATCCTGAGCTAGTCAGTGCAAATTTAATGTGCCTGTTGCCTTGAAGGAGTAAGTTTATGGCAAGGAGGAAAAAAAAGCTGCCTTCTGCATTCTCAGTAGCACGTACGCACCAAATTCCTCTGACTCAACTGTCATTGATTGGTTTACTTAAACACTGTGTGTTCACTAACCTGTAACTAGCACTGTCTGGCAGAATGAGAAGAGACAACAAAATGGTTCCTTAACCACTTGAAGCCACAGTGTAGTGAGTAATGGAAACAGTGTTTGAGGGATTGATGCAATTTTGTGGGTTGTCAGTTTGTTCCCAGTGCCTTCAGCCCTTATGGGAGGGAAAGAAGCTTGTCTTGCTTTAGCATGCTGGAGGTTCACTGGACACCTTTGCTCCTATGCTTATTTTCTGTAGGTTGCATTCAGAATTGAGCTCATATTTGAGCTGAGAAAGTGAATGGATAAGGATGCTTAGACATGCTTTACAGGTGCGCAGTATAAATGAAACAGTCATGCCCCAGAATAAGCAGCATTTTCTCTGTCTGTGCCCAGTGTTGATCCTGAGGCCTAATTAGTAGAACTGTTAGCGTGTCCCAAACAGAACACTTTCAAGCAGAGAATATTTAATAAGTGGTTTCACATCCATTCTCCTTCGGGTTCCTAGTTGGTAAAATGTGTTTTTTTTTTTATTTTCCTGAAATAGACAAGGTTATATGTAATCATCTTCAGTTTTGTTCTTGGGTTTTATTCTCTTACAGTTCTTGGACAGTTAGATGAAATTGTCACATTTTAGATTGTCGTTCAAGTGTAGATGATGATTTTCTTTGAAGAATTATTTCTTCTTGAACATTTTGGGGAGGGGAGAAACAGTCCAGGAAGATGTTTACAAGGGTTAATACGATATGCACTGGAATGTGAGACAATATGATCTGCATAGTTCCTTCTAGATACTGATTCTTTACAACCTGGGGTGCTAATTTGAATAGAATACTGAATGCATACTGTTTACAGTGCCCAGAATGCTTTTTTAAGAAAATAGAGTGAATAAATATCTGCCGTTTTATTGTTAGGTGATCTGTCTTCATGTTAAAAAGCCTAAATATTCGTCTTCATCACGTTTTTGTTTTACAATTTGATATGTTTGCAAGTGGAACTCTGAAAGTCAAGCATGTAAACAAGTGAATACAGTTACACAATCAAACACAATTTATTTCCCTTATCAGAAATTGATCACTCATGAGAGGTTTGAAAGTGCATGTGAAGAATTAAATAATGCATTACATCGGGAGCATCAGGCACAACTGCTTTTGAATGAACAGGCGCAACAGCTACAGGAGTTAAATAATAAACTAGAGTTGCACTCCAGTGAAGAAGCAGATAAAAACCAAGTCTTAAGTGAAACTGTAAAGGTAAGATGATTATCTTTCTGAAATAGGCACCAGAAATTTACCTTCTGCAGTTCTTGTGCAAATAAAATTATGGGAGTAAATGCATACATAGTACTCAGTCCTTGGGTATTTTAGGGTACTCAGAAAACACTCTTAAGAGGAAACTTCAAGGTATAACTTCCCTTTTCTGCTATTGGGAGTGGGTGGTGTACACCAATATCTGTAATCTGTGAAGTGTCTGCATTTTACATGATATGTGAGAGACATCAGTTCTAGCTATCATGAGGTGTTTGTAGATTATAGGAAAAATGAAGGAAGAAATACAGGAATACTGTGATTTTTGGTAGAGGTCATAAGAATATTTTAAAACCTGGATTAGATGTTGTCCTGAGTATAATCTTAGGGTAGAGAATGCATTTGTCAGTTTGGAATATGCTAGGTGGGAGTAGAGAAGGATCCTTTTTTATCAGGGTTTAGAGATTTTCCTAGACGTAATGAGTAATGAGGGAAAAGATGTTATCAGAATCTCTAGATAGCAAATCAGGGAGCAGAAAGAGAATGAGGTTTGAAAATAGGTGGATATTAACATGGAAAGAGAAAAAACCTTGTGATGGCAGGACAGTAATGTGTGGTGACCTTAGCTCTGCAGATTTTATTTTTTATTTAAAGCAAGCTTTGCTGCTTGTGTCTGTACTTCAGCCTTTTCTACTGTCTTTCCACCTCCCAATATTATTCTGTGAACCGGTAGCTGAGCAAAAGATAGTGCTCCTCTGGTATTTTGAGAAAGAGAAGCACTTGTGATTCTCAGGAAGATTTAGGAAGGAAGTTATAAGAAATGTCAAGAAATGTGAGGAGAACCAAAAAGATGCAAGCTACAAAACCAGTGGAAATGTCAGAAACCATTGTTGAAAATATAACAGTGAAAATGGATGTCAAGGAGGATGACTTAGAGCAGAGGTGGAGTTTGAAGTAATATACTGGAGGAAGCTGAAGGATGTTAAATTTATTAAAGAGGGTTTTCATTAGCATTATTTACTAAAATACCTTACCTCGCTAAAGGTGAAAGACAATGACATTTCCAATTTAGCTGTTGGTTTTTATGTTTTTTTTCTCCCTCCCAGTCCCCTCACTTTGGGTGTTTAATTTCAATGTAAGAATAAACTTGTGGGTAATACTACTGCTTTTTTGTTTCACATGTAACTGCAGTATATATAAGCCATTAAACTCGTGTTTGATTTCTTTGGGAAATACTTGATTCAAAATTTTTAAATGGATAATAGGATCATAAAGAAGGGAAGGAATAGAAGACAGATATTATTGGGAATCTTCATTAAGGTCTGCTCTTTATACATTAGTGCATGGTATTTCACTATGTTTTACTGTATGTGTAAAACATACCTTTGCATTTGTTCAGAGGAAATGAAACAAAAAGTCAATGGTAGGCATTTAAAATATAGGACGGAGTTTTAAACAAATCCATTACATGGATTATTGGATACTAAATTAGATTTCACAGCTTCTGTTTTTTATTAATTAAAGGCTAGGTACAATTTGTTTGAGACAGCAGCGATCCTAAAATGCATTGTAATTCTGCAACCCTCTAGCAGTTGTTTGCTAGTGGAATAACTTGATTTTGTGTAAAATACGTGATTATTGCTGAAAGCTGTAAAGATATGATACAGTACAATGTAATAATATAGCTGTTGTGATAGGATAGAAGCTAAGAAAGTTGACAAAATAAGCCTTAGAGCTGAAACTTACCACTTAAGAGTTACCACTTAAGAGTTAAACTGATTTGGTTTTCTAAAGGTATTACTCCATAGTATGTAATCCTTTCTGTGGAGAGGAGTTCTGAACCGAATTTTTTATAGACATGTTGCTGTGTACTGTCCCTAAACTTCTGTTGAAATACCAGAAGGTTGATTAATGTCTCGTAATTCCATTGTGATGTTTACTACAATAGTTAGCACAAAATTGCATTTTGGTTGTAGCTTCCTGTATCTGTTACTGTGTCAAGGAAGGAAACAAGGTCAATCGTGGTAGCATGGCAACACACGTTCATGATGTAGTGTTTCTTGGGGTTTTTTGCACATACGATTTTGTTATGTATACTTCCTAAATCGTCATCTCGCCTTCAATTTTTATTGTTTTTCACAGTTCCAGACCTGTGCTGAATAAGTACTTCCTAAATTCAGGTAGCAGTCTAACACAAACTATTTTGATACCAAGGGGTAAAAGGACTTTTTTTATTTATTTTGAGCTCTATGTGTTTTGTTTTTCAAAATTTAAGAAAGTCTTTCATAAGCTTTTTTTTTTCTTCCATAGTTTACCACAATCCCACTTTATTCGCAGCTTTATTCATGACAGGCAGAAATGGTCTCTCTGCCTTTGTCCTGGCATTTTAACTGACAGACCTTTTTTCTCTTGGCTAGTCGGTTTTTGTGACTTAAAATAATTTTTTTTTGTAGCACTTGTTTTGCTGTACAGTGGAACAATCTCATCTCTGTAATTATCAACCTTGACCTTGTAAAACAGTGTTCTTACAATTGCATAAGCTTTTAAACTCTGAAATAGTGCAGAAGTATGGAAAAAAAGAGCTGTTGCACTGAAAAAATATAATTGGATAAATATGCTTCCGTCTTCATCTTAAGATACAAAATAATCAGTCTCGGCCAATTTGTATAAAAAGTTGCGGAATGTGATGGTGTACAAGTGATTTCGGATGGAGTGGAGTGTCATGGAGTAAAAGAACTTGCTTCAAGTTCTTTATTCATAGTTTTAAACAGATTAAGAATGGGGACAAAGCATTACATACTTTTCACTTTCAATAACTCATTTTTAAACTTATTCACACTTGAACAGCAATCAGTAAGGAGATATTTTGGTATTCACGCGCTTTCATGAAGTGGGCTTATTGAAGGAGTAATACTTAATTTCTTAGCTTTATCGGTTCAGATTTTAATCCTGTATATTTTTATCTTCTTAATGGCATATACCATAGAGACATCAAAGGTAGCCAATTACATTCAAGGTCAACTGGAACTAAGCAACTCTTTTACACCGCCTTTTTTTTTTACTAGATGAGGTAAATCAGTAGCTCTGATTCCCCTGTCTTTGAAGGGAAACTTTCACACAAATGCTGAACAGCCATCTATAGTAGACATTAATTTTTACTTCTTTATAGCATGTCTTAATTCCAGTAAAATACTTTTTCTTCGTATTGACAGGCACTGTGTGTATATTTACTTCCTTTTAGGTATGCTAGTACCTGTAGTAAAACCAATACCTTTCTAGGGTTTAATTTATGGAACATGTCCTGTAAGTTGTTAATGAATAACTGTGTGCATTTCAAGTGCAGTATGTGTTAAATCATGAAACTTGCTACTGCTCTGCCTCAAAATAGCCTTCAGTGCATGTTTTAGAAGACAATACCTTCAATTTTGGGTTTATTTACTTTGCTAAGTTTAGTGAAGCTGCCATTGATAGATGGCAGCGGAAGTGAGAAAAGAATCTCATCCAAGTGCTTTGATAACATTCACAGAAGAATGTTTTCTGAGGGGAAGATCTGGAGTGTTTATTTTCACTAGCTATTTCATTTAAAGTATAGTCTGTATTCAGAAAGTGTAGCATCCTTTGCTAAACAGGCACATCTGAATTAATTAGATTCTGATGAAGACTGGGATTTCTAGATTTGTTAGAAGTGGATGTTTTCCCTGAGCAGACTCTGTTCTTGGAGTGGATTTCAGGTGAAGGTGGTACGCAATTTGCTGCTTTTTGTTGCTTTTCCTCTTCATACATTTATAGCCACACATTTTCCCTGAAATATAACTTCACTTATTTATACAATTGCTTTTGTTAATACCATTGCACTTGCTTTGCAAGTCAGTTTTATAGTTGGCTGTTTCTGCAAATGATACAGTATTCTAATTTACAGAAAGGTTTAAAGGAAGACCAAGTGATTTTCATGCTTCCCAAATAGAACAGCAAATATTACAATCACTATAAGAACAGAAATAGGTTTTGGATTTTTTTTTTTAAACTCTCTGAGATCTTAAGTTGGAAAGACTGTTAGGATTTGTTTGCATTGAGGGGTACTGTTGATTCCAAAAAAACTTGTTTGTCATTTTGTTAAGAAATGGCATTTCTGTGCATTGCCCCGTTAAATGAAAGGCTGTTCTTTAAAGAAAGCAGTATAGCTGATTGCCATTAGCATCTAACTTAATAGAGAATTAGTATTAATCAAGTTTAGCATGTTAGAGAGAAGCAAGCTCCCCTCTGAATAGGCTGGAAACTAAAATTCATAATTCATTAATTAAATGGGTTTTTTTTTGTTGTTTCCGTCTCTCTATGTTCTGAACAGCTAAATAATTTATAAAGTAGGTAAGAATGGATTAGCATTGCCATCTGCCCTGTTCTTAGTCAGAAGAGGTCATATGTTTTCTTATTACACTAAATTACAGGTTAAACAGTTTTGTCATGTGTTTCAGTTTGCGTTAACATTATTTGCAAAATAAGCAAGTGTGCTCATTCTCCTTCTGTTATGTAACTTGCACTACTGATAGCTTCTCACATTGTCTTGAAAGAGTTAGGTTAGCTAAAGACTTGCCCTGGAGCTGGTCCTTTTTGCTTTTTTGTTTAAAGATTGCAGTACATTGTACATGGAATTTAGGGAAGGAATGGTCTTCCCAGGCTTCCTTCTAGCAGATGCTGTTGTTGCATAATAGGAGACACACATAGCATCCTGTTGTGGGACTGGACCTGAGAGCGTCTCTTCACAGAAGGAATGAGACTGTGATGAAATCTGCATTCTGTAACTCAGTCTGCATTTCAGATATCTAAACTTAAACGTCACCTTAAGTTTCTCTCTTCTGTGGTTTGTCCATGAAGTTTGTTTTATTGTCTTAACTGCCTACTTTATTATCTTATTTTTTTAAAATCACAAACTTGTGCATTAAATTTTCTGTTGGAGATAAATAATTGTGCTCTATTCTGTTTAGCACTTTGAAAGCAGCTCTTTATGT